ACATTCAGTGGGTAGATCTCAGTTGTATGGAAAGGTCTGGACTACTTGCAAAGGGGCAAAGGAGACAATTATTTTAAACAGAAATAGGATTGCAGTGCTGGTTGTGAGATGTAATTTAGCTCCGTGCTCTCACTTTTGCTAGGGGTCAGGGTAAATCCTTCATGATGCATTATCCTCTCTCCTGCCTCAGAGGCAGGAAAATACATCAGAGGAACATCCAGCCTGACTGTGCCATAACATAAGTGACCTGGTCTGGTCAGGAAGCCTCGGAAGAAATTCAGTGGAAGATTCTTGACTTGTGACTAACATTTTAATTCAGAATGTTAACCTTCAGCGGGAAAATTGAGAAATCAAAAAGCAAAGTAGTAGTATAAGCCTTTTGGGGAAAAGTAGACAGTATTCAACTTTTCACTGAAAAGGATTTAAGAACAGTTAATCAGTCATGTTCAGGCATAAAGACAAGTGCAATGTTATGGACTAACACAGCCTACCGTTAGGGTGCAGCAGAGGAATGTCTACTGCTTTTCTCTATGTCTTTAATGCTCTTAGAACAAAACAAGCATGCATGGGCAGAATAAAATACAGACCTCTTCCAAGGATTACATTCTCTATTACCTCCTATAATGTGCCACCTGTTCTTTACAGCTATGATTAAGTATTTCCTTCTGATATGAGTGTCAAATAGTTAACTTCAAAGTGACAGAAGAATGTTCCCATTTTCACCCTTTGGAGAACTGATTAGAACTTACATCAGATATTCTTCTGACATGAATATGGAAATTGGTAATAACAGGAGAGAAAGAGAGACTGGAAAATAATACAGTTCAGGTTGAAAACAAGTTTTTCTACCACCTCCTCCCCCATTCTTTAGAGAGACTAGTGAGATTTATTTCCAGGTGCTTCCTTTTGCTCCTCCTCCTCTTCAATATCTATCTAAGTAGGAAGCAGAGAAGAATAGCAATCCTCAGCTCTTAGCTTTTGCACTGAACCTGGCTCTGCTTTTCTCTCAGTTCTGTAAGAAACAGTTTGACACAACTTTCTATGACTGCATAAATTGTCCAAGGGTAAAAAAGGCAGTTTTCAAATAAGGCGTAAATAAGCACTAAAATTAATCTCAGCAGCTGGATTAAATATGCACATAGATGAATGACACCTAAGGAAAATAAAATAGTCCCTGCTGCTTTTCTTGTAACTTTCATTAGTAATGTAGTAGCTTTTATTTCTTTTCAGATCAAGACTTTAACTCTTCCATTTAAGTACAATTATTATTCACAGGGACTGCAGAGGACATACGTTAATGCAGAGTCTTCGCTAAGATAGTAAGACATGTCCAGAAGTTTTTTCCCTTCAGAAACTAGCAACTAGGGATAGAGGAAGAAGAACAGTGTCCTTTCCACTTAGTGAAGTCCTGTGCTGTTTAACCACTGCTACTGTGTGGAAGGAGTGAAAAAAACAGCACTTTGCCTCCTGATTTAGAGCCCAGGCGCTGTACTCCTCTGAGAGGCTGCACATTATTTTGCAGATTAAGTCCCTCATTGCAGGGCTAAAGTGCTGTTTGCACTGTCTACAAAAATGAAATGTCACAGTACGCCTTGGCTGGTAAAGTCAGAACAGCTCCACCAAAAGCTGAGCAGCTACAGCAGTGTGGGTCTGATCAAGTCAAACTCCAAACTTTTGAGTTTTAAGCCAGCAAAAAAATAGCTCAATATTTGCTAAATGAATTACTCTGAGCCTTTTCCATCATCTATGGCTAGTATATTCACCCTTGCAGAATCTATGCAGAAGTTAACCTATATTTTTATTATAATAGTATTATTTACTTATGAATAGTTCCCTACTCATTTTTCTAACAGTGCCTATCTTGAATTTCAACACATTTTATTTTTGGCCCAGTTTCCTCTTTTTCTAACCTGCTTTTATTCTCAAAGCATTCCTTATGACTTCTTCTCACAATCTTCATTTGCAGGATCATTACATAATGTTTATTTTTCTAAACAATCTTATTGCAATTGACTTCAAAATTACCTTAATTTGACTGCAAATGACCACACTGTTTTGACATCACTCTTGTGTTATATTAAGACCTTCATACTTTACATCAAACTACCTTTATATAATTTCTACCAACAACAGCTTTAAAACTTTCATCCCATTTGATTCAGAACACTGCAGCAGTGATATTTAAACCATACAAAAAAATTAGGTAAGTCACAAAGGTTCCTTCTTCTCCCTGACTCTGGGACTAACTGATGCTTGAAATCCACTGTTTCTTAAGAGGAAAAGGCACAGCATTTTTCACATTTGTAGGCTTTTGTTCACTTGTGAAAACAGCACATCACTTTGGCTAAATCTACACAGTTATGCAGCTCTTGCAAGCTGTTCTTAGATACCAGTTAGTCCTAACCCAGAATTTGTTTGTACATATCAAGTCAGAATTTTGAAGGTGAAGTTCATAGAATGGAGGAGAAGAATCATAGAATGGTTTGGGTTGGATGGGACCTTAAAGATCATCTAGTTCCAACCCCCCTGCCATGGGCAGGGACACCTCCCACTAGACCAGGTTGCTCAAAGCCCCATCCAGCCTGGCCTTGAACACTTCCAGGGATGGGACATCCACAACTTCTCTGGGAAACCTGTTCCAGTGCCTCACCACCCTCACAGTAAAGAATTTCTTCCTAATATCTAATCTAAATCTCCCCTCTTTCATTTTAAAACCGCTACCCCTTGTCCTTTCACTGCACTTCCTGACAAGAGTCCCTCTCCGGCTCTTCTGTAGGCTCCCTTCAGATATCGGTAGGCTGCTGTGAGGTCTCCTCACAGGCTGAACAACCCCAGCTCTCTCAGCCTGTCTTCATAGGGGAGGTGCTCCAGCCCTCTGATCATCTTCGTGGCCCTCCGCTGGACCCTTTCTAACAGACCCATGTCCTTCCTGTGCTGAGGACTCCAAAGCTGGTCACAGTACTCCAGATGGGGTCTCACGAGCACAGAGTAGAGGGGCAGAATCACCTCCCGTGACTTCCTGGCCACACTTCTCTAGAGGCAGCCCAGGATGCGGTTGGCTTTCTGGGCTGCCAGTGCACATTGCCGGCTCATGTTAAGCTTCTCATCCACCAACACCCCCCAAGTCCTTCTCCTCAGGGCTGCTTTCTAGCCATTCTCTGCCCAACCTGTATTTGTGCCTGGGGTTGCCACGTCCCAGGTACAGGACCCTGCACTTGGCTTGGTTAAACTTCATGTGATTTGCACGAGCCCACCTCTCAAGCCTGTCTAGGTCCCTCTGGATGGCATCCCTTCCCTCCAGAGTGTCGACTGTTATCACTGAGTTTGGTGTCATCAGCAAACTTGCTGAGGGTACACTCTATCCCACTGTCCATGTCTCCAACAAAGATGTTGAACAGCACTGGTCCCAGTACAGACCCCTGAGGAACACCACTCGTCACTGGCTGCCAGTTGGACATTGAGCCATTGACCACAACCCTTTGAGTGTGGCCAGCCAGCCAGCTCCTTATCCAGCCAGCACTGAGTGGTCCATCCATCAAATCCATTAGTTTCTAATTTTGAGACCAGGTTGTTGTGCGGGACAGTGTTGAACGCTTTGCATAAGTCCAGGTAGATGACATTGGTTGCTCTGCCCTTGTCCACCAAGCATGTGGCAGTATTGTAAAAGGCCACCAGATTTGTCAGGCACGATTTGCCCTTGGTGAAGCCATGTTGGCTGTCTCCAATCACCTCCTTATTTCCCATGTGCCTTAGCAGAGATTCCAGGAGGATCTGCTCCATAATTTTGCCAGGCACAGAGGTGAGACTGACTGGCCTGTAGTTCCCTGGGTCTTCTTTTTTTCCTTTTTTGAATATCGGGGTTATGTTCCCCTTTTTCCAGTCTGCGGAAACTTTGCCAGACTGCCATGATTTCTCAAAAAGGATGGAAAGCGGCTTAGCAACTTCATCCACCAGCTCCCTCAGGACCCATGGATGGATTTCATCAGGTCCCATGGACTTACGCCCCTTCAGGTTCCTTAAGAGGTCTCGAACCTGATCTTCTTGTACTGTGGGCAGTTCTTCATTTGCAGAGCCCCTGTTTTTGCCTTCCGTGACTTGGGCAGTGTGGTTTGAGCCCTTGCCGGTGAAGACCGAGGCAAAGAAGTTGTTCTGTAGCTCAGCCTTATCCATATCCTTGGTGGCCAGGTCTCCCGTTTCCTTCCGGAGAGGGCCCACAACTTCCCTAGTCTTGCCTTTGTCCCTGACACATCTGTAGAAGTTTTTCTTACTGTCTTTTGATGTTCTTGGCTAAATTTAGTTCTGCCTGGGCTTTCGCTTGCCTGATCTTGTTCCTGACCACTCAAACTGTTTCCCTGTATTCTGCCCATTCTACCCATCCCTGCTTCTACCCTCTATAGTAGAAGTCCAGGGTAGCGAGCTTGCTGGACACCCTCCTCGCTGCCCTGTGTATCTTGAACTCCACCATTTCACGATCACTGCAGCCAAGGCTATCCTTGAACTTGACATTCCCCACCAGTGAGAGAACTCGCTGGATTGGGGTCCATGGGAAAGTGGGTAGGCCAAGTTCTGGACATCAGACATCATCCCCATTCAGCTGTATCTGATGGATAACATTCTCTGTCAGAGTCCTGAGCTCAGCAGGGAGTGTTAGTGCAACTGTGATGCAAACTATGAACAGCAGAGATCCAGCCAGCAAGTAAGGCTGCCATACACTACAAACAATTTACAGAATATTTTGAATAGGGGTTGATTTAGGGTAAGTGTGCCCAGGAATCTAGTCCAGGTTAGAAGTCCTCTACACTGTTCCAGCTGTGCAGGGAAATACACGAGGGGCCAGCAAAGACTTCTGCATTTGCTGTAAGCTACATCATTACATCATACATCATTACATCATACACCAACAGGGATAGGAACTGTGTGTCCACCCCCTGCCCCCTTCCTTCTATGGTGCACAGCTTTTCTTTCTGATGCTCAGCACAGCAGCTATATGGGAGACTGGCTAGCTGAGAAGGGTCAGCTAGTCCAGCAAGAGCTTAATAAGCACCGTATTCAGCTTATCTAGCTCCCAATAACTGCAAGGCCTTGAAGTTGTTCTTCTGGCCTTGAAGGCAGCTGTGGTCCAACAACAGAATGTCTGTGATAAGGTAAACATGTAACTGTAAGAAAGGAATTTCGGGCGGAACTGTCTTTTTAGAACTAACCAATAATGAGCTCTCATTTTGCAATATGTATGAGCTAATTATGAGTGTGCATAAAAGAATGGCAGTGTGTCTAAATAAACGAAGCTTGCTGGTCACTCATATTGAGTGCTCATGTCTTCCCTCCGTCGCAACAAATGGCGCCCAACGTGGGGCCAGGACCCTATACAGGGTGGAACCTGTGAACAGGGACCCTGTACAGGGCTGAACCTGCGAGCCACGGTTCGGCGGAGCCCGGGAACCGGTCCTGTAAGCAGCGCAGGAGGCGAAAGGGACGAATCCCCGCGCCCAGGAGCACCTATAGAGGGTCCTGTGAAGGCGAAAGGGAAATCCCCGCGCTCGGGAGCACCTATAGAGGGTCCTGTGAAGGCGAAAGGGAAATCCCCGCGCTCGGGAGCACCTATAGAGGGTCCTGCCAGCCACGCGTCGCCGAAGTCTTGCAAAGGCTGCAACAGCGCTGACGAAGGTATGGATAGACAAGCGACGTATGATTTGCTCAAATGCTTTTTAGAAAAGGGGAGCATTAAGGGTATAGATTATAAAAAGGAGTTGCCTGATTTATTAGCTTATGGGGTAGCGAGAGGGTGTTTTGATAACCCAGATACGGTTTTCGAACCAGGAATGGCGTAAATTTGGAGACAAGCTGTTTGATGAAGTGATAAGCGATAATAAATCAGCTAAAAAGTTAATGAAGCCGTGGCGGGCAGTTGCTAATGCCCTGCTGCAGTATAAAGCAGAACAACGAGCGGCCGCTGCCGCTTCAGAAAGGTTGGGGGGGTCAACTGGAATGGGGGCGGCTACTTCCCAGCAAGGGCCGCTTGACTCCCCTTCCCCTTCGGAATATCCGTTGCCTCCTTCAGTGCGTACGTTAACTGTCCCACAGGGAGCGGCAGGGACATGGGACCACTCAATTCTTTCCCACCCGCCCTCCCAAGCCCTTTCTC